CCCCCTACTGGGGATGAGCCCACAACCTGGGCGGGTGCTCTTGACCGAAGTCCAACCCAGGGACCCTTCAGTCCACAGGCCGACGCTCTATCCACTGAGCCAAACTGGCTAGGGTGGGTGACCAGCTTTTTGAGAGACAGTTTAAAAGTGATACTGTGCAATATCAGATCCATTTTAAACTCAGCCTTCACTCACAATTGAATGTTATGATAAAACACACACACACACACACACACACACACACACAGTTAGGATGTGGAGGGTCCGTTGAAGACTTATTAAATATGACAGGTCCTGCCCTGGCCACAGTGACTGGGTTGGGGCAGTGTTCAATACATGGAAAGGTCACAGGTTTGGTTCCTGGTCAGGGCACATACCCAGGTTGCAGGTTCGGACCCCCAAGGAGTGTGGGCGGGGGGCTGCGTATGGGAGACAACCGATTGATGTTTCTCTCTCACATCAATGTTTCTGGCTCTCTCCCCATCTCCCTTCCTCGCTCTCTAAAATCAGTGAAAGTCTGTCCACCTGAGTGGGTCTGAGCTCAGGTGTGTCTGCCTAGGGCCCGCTGGTAATGTATGGGTTCTTGACTTCCTGTAGGAAAGATTTCACAAGATGAGTTCCGGTGGCTTTTGAGAGTATGTTTATTAAAGCCGGGGACAATGACACAAACGGAGGACTTAAGGTAGGAGAAGCAACAGGTAGGAAAAGAATAAAGGGGGCCTTGGAGACAGATTCCGGTGTTAGCCGGGATCAAGCTGCTGCTGCCCACTGCTCCCCTGGTTGTAAGTCTTGTGGGGTCCCTTAGAGTTTAGGAGAAAAAAAGAAGAAAAGAGTGTAGATCCTATGATGCCTCATTTGATAGGACAGCTCCTGGTGGTCTGCATTAGACTTGTTAAGCCAAATCCATGGTAGATTTGGGGGAAAATAGTTCACAACAAGGATTAGCCCCTTCTCTGTGGTAAACTGGCCTCAAGTGATCTTCTCAGCTGCCAGGCTGTGAGGAAGCCCACGGAGCCATGTGGAGAGGAACGAAGGCCCAGACCAAATGCTGGGGCACAGCTCCCAGAGGACACCCAGCTCCAGCATTCCAGCAACACAAATGAGCCATTCTGGAAGCAAGTCCTCCAGGCCTAGTCAAGCCACCCAGCCCAGTGCTGTGTGAAGGAGAAACAAGCCTTCCCACATTGCATAACTGTGAGGAGAATATGATTGCTATTTTTTAAACCATGAATTATAACAAAGAAGAAAGATGCTTTGTAATTATGTTCTGTGAATAAAGCTTTTTCAGAAAAGTGATTCTATCTAAATCCAACAATCTTGTATCTCATTACAGAATGTGCTTTCAGTCATTCTGACCAAAACTTTGTTTCTTTAGAGACTTTACTGTCCAGGACAGAAACTGAGATTGTGACCCTATGACTCACTGTTTGGGATCCCGGGTGTAGAAGGAAGGGTGCAGTCAGAGTGTAAGGATGCTTGCCAAATCTCTGATAGTGGCCCCAACATGAGTCTCTCTCAGGAAAGTTGCAGTCGGAATGGACTGGGTGGAGAATGGCTTTAATGGCTACTGGTTGGGTCTCTGGCAATTTTTCTGGGCCACATATGGTGGGTAAGAGCTACGGGACCCTGTTCTGAGAATCCATCACATCCTGAGAGTCAATCTGCCTTTGTGCATGGGAAATGGGAACATGGGCCCCTTCTCATGTTCCAACTTCCCCTCCCACCCAGTTGGGAAACACAGTGAAGGCCATCAGTAAGGGGACTGTGAAACCTCGGGAGCCTGGCCAGCTCTTCAGTCAAGAAAACAGGGCTTTGATCTCACACAGCTTTCGCATGCCCCCTCTTTCCGCATGCCCTGTTTTCTTCTGTTTTCTATAAAACCTTAGATTGGAATGTCTGGGTCATGACAAAACAATAGCACCTGCTGGTGCCCACAGTGCAGCCCATCCACAGACAAGCCCAGAGCCCACCAACATTATTCAAAGTAGCTGACCCTAAGCTGTTTCCTCCGCCCTGCTCTGCCTTTTCCCAGGAAAACACCTAAGGGCTCTGAC